GGGCAATTGCAGATGGTCACAGAGCTGAAGAGAGAAAACGAAAACGGAATAATGAAAATGGAAATAAATCGTTTTCAGATAAGGACAAGATCGTTTTTGTTTTTAAGTTTTGGAAAATTTTACACCAAACGCGTTTTCATTACGTGTTTTCGTTTTTCGTTCTCGAAAACTGTGAAAAATGGAAACGGAAACGGAAACAAACAGTCCCAAGGCTTCCCATCTCTCTATCCTTCTTCTTGTTATAAAAAATACAGCTGAAACTGAATACAAGTTGAGCCAGGAATATGAATCTGCAGTTACTATTAGCAACTAAACAAGACCACCCAAGTCCCAACAATAAAATTTCAACAAATCAAAGACTACCCCGCGAGGGGGTTAGCATGTATAGTCACTCGATTGAGCCGGATCTCTGCGAGAGGTCGATCAGCGGGTCCTGTTTGAGTCTGCACCAATCAAAACACCAGTTAGTACTATCCCATACTCGAGAAGAATCAACGCCGAATGTCTTTAATGAGTCATGAAACATAAAAGATCAATTTTCACCGAGAAAAAGCTGGGACTAATTACGATTTTAGTGTGACTCTGTGAAATACCTTTTCCATGAGGTCCAAAACTTCAAAGCCATGAATTACTTTGCCAAACACAGTGTAAAGTCCATTCAAATGCGGCTGCTTTGCGTAACTTATGAAGAACTGGCTTCCGTTTGTATTGGGTCCGCTGTTCGCCATTGATAGTATCCCCCTTGCATTGTGCTAAAACAGGAGAAAAGAACAAACAGTTTAAAAATTGTGTAATCAGACCATGCAAAAACCCCCCATCAAATCTAGCTGAATACACACCATATGCGACAGTATGACATTGAAGATGAAATGCAAATATTATGCCTGTTGATGATAAGTAATTGGATAGCCCACAAAATATTGAAAGTTTAAAACTAGGCCATGATTATCCCAGTCCAAGTTTCTCAAGGCTTATGAATATTACTAAGCTGTTCAGAAGTCTGGAAAGAATGAAGAGCGGAAAATAGAAGCATCCAACTTAGTTAAAAGTCAACATAAAACATGGCCTTGAAGACTACACAGCAATAGTCCTATATAAATAAGCACCAAGGTTAAAGCCACTAACACAAAACATTCTCTCCTGTTTCCATCCTATTTTGCTCGCTTTCATTATCAAATTTTTCGGAAAAACAGCATTATGAAGGGACTTTTGCCGATTCAGCAAAAAGATACCGTTGATCGAATTTGACAAGATGATGAAGCACACAACAGATAATTTTTGTTGAAAAATATAAAATCAAATTTTAAGGCATAAGGTTATTAATTTATTAGTTTATTACCTTGAGAGACTCCTTTATCTCGTCGTTGAACTTCTTGCCCCATATACTAGTCCCTCCTTTGCCTGTACCTGTTGGATCTCCACCTTGTATCATAAAACCTTTTATGTTTCTATGGAATATGGTCCCATCGTAATAACCACTAGCACATAGGGCCAAAAAGTTCTGCATTTATTATACACATAAAACATCAAAAACTACGTCGTGTGAAAAAAGTCGTTGTCATATAAAAGGACGACGTTGTAAGGAATAATGAATTCCGCAGTAAGGTAGACAAACACAATTTATACTAGAAATGATGTTCTGTTTTATTAGCATGGGAACAACGTTGAAAAATAATGCCTTGATGTCGTATGGAAAAAATATGTCATTTATCTAATCTAAAAAGAAAAAGAAAGGACTACCAAATGATGTCGTATGAAAAATCTCATTTGGAAAAAAAAAAAAAAAAAAAAAAAAAAGGTCGCATAGACAAGTCGTATGAAAAGTAAGGTCCTATATCAGAAATGCTGAGACGATCTGATAAAACGGAAACGTGATATTGTATGAAGAATAATGACGCATATGAAAAGCACTGCCGTAAAAGAATGATGTCGTACGCAAGCCCCGGATTGAAAGAGAAACCATATCGTATTTAGAAACCCTGATGTAAAATGAATTGTCCATCCATTTAAAAACACAGTCGTTTGAAAAACACCGTCTAGAATGGATTTTGGAAGATAAACGATGTCCTATTCTATAACACTGTCGTTTGACAAAAGATGTCGTATAAAGAAGATAATGTCGTACAGAAAAAAAAATCGTTGAAGAGGCACCTGGGACTCACCTCGGCGGTTTTGGGAACCTCGTCGCAGAAGATCTCGCATTTGATGTCGCCCAGATTAGTGTGCAACGTGACCGACTGTAAAAACCAAAAATTTTCTTTGAGAAACAAACAAGATTTACAAAGCGTAAAATTAATAAACCCTAGAAAACTGAAGGTGTGGGATTCATTGAGCACCAATGAAAATACTAACCATTTGCGTGATGAGATTTTAGATGACTTTGAATTCTTTCCGGTTGTGCTTTACTTGCGCTTCGCCGTTTTGTTGTAAGGTTGTGGTGTGCTCAATTGCTACTGCTGAAATGAAAAGGATTCACAACCTTCTAGAAAGCTTTGCCGTTGTCGGTTGTACACTAACTTTCAGAAGTTAAAACTATTTTGTGCAAAATCTTTTGCTGAGATTGTTCCAACAGATCCAGGCCATGGGAAAATCCAGCCCACAAAATTGACAAGCCGATATACATTGGGCTGGACAAACGGCTCTGTACTTGGAAATGCTTAGGGCTTGTTCTGTCCATTATGCATGAAATGAAAAAAAAAAGGAATGTCTATTAAGTTATGATAATGTCTATAAGTTATGATATTTGCCTATAATTCTACAAAATAAATTGTAATTACATTTTTATACTTTGTTAACCACCTATAAAATCAAATATACAAATTCATAACCACCAACATAAAAGGGTAAATTTGAAATGATAATATCTCAATCACTATAAAATATAGATATTGAAAATATTGTTAAATTAAAGACAATTCTAAACAACCAGTTCAAAAGTGATCATTTTGTATACATATTTATTTTTCTCTTTCTTTTTTCCTTTTATTATCATTATTATTATTGAATAAAAATAAAAATTACACTATATAGAAATGATAGTGGAGTTGACGTATAGAATTTTTTAAAAAACAATTTTAGGAATAGCAAAAGTATAATAGTTATTTCATGTTCGTTTTACTCAAGGACGTAATATCCTTAAGAAAAAAAAAATGACAGTTATTATTTTAATGATGTTAGTTTTTGTTATTTGTAAAATGTTTCAAATTTTTGCTATATTTTAACATGATTAATAAAATTTTGCTATATGTTTAAGAAGCTAAGAAAAAAAAAAAGCGTAGATGTCTAGATTCGTCCTTTTAAAAGTTTTTTCCCCCTCCAGTACTGGAATATGCAAATCATAACGTGAAGTGAAATTATCCCACTCGCGAGTCTTTTGCTCTAGTTTCTTCATTTTCTTTTTTTTATTTTACATTTCTCATTTGCAAAATAGTCACTCTTGATCAAAATTAAACTCATGACAGTAAAATGCATGTTTTAGAATCCAATCAAACACTCGTGAAAGTAAAACCAAAAGGCGTGCTTTAGAATTCTTTTTCTTTTTCTTTTTTTTTTTTTGTACCTTCAATAGCCTTTATAAATAAATACATAACAAAAAGAAAAAGAATAAAAATTGAATGCTTTTGAACTAGTTGTGCCTAACGTCTGAGTATATAAACATACAGTACTTAGCAGTGAGCGGGACTACCCATCCTCAAGGATCTCTCTGTGCACATGCATGCAGGATGTGCTGCAGTACTTGTAATTATACCTATGAAATGGAACTTTACCAGCCAAAGACACATTACAACAAGAGCAGTTAATGTCACCAGCCAACCCACTTTTGGTCTGTGAAACGTTTGTTGCGCCCGCTGCGCTAACGCCTTGAGCATTAGCAGCAGTGGATATTCTCCTCTCAGCAGCAGCCGCTCTCTTTTCCCTCTCAGCAGCCTGCGCCCTTTTTAGCTCCTCCTGATAATCAACCACAAAGCGAGAGAAAAGAATATAACATTCTGAAACATGTTAGTGAATATTTGAATATGAGAATGTATATGAAAATTGGATGTATAAGACGCAATCTAGGAATATAAAGCGGATTAATTTGCTTCAGGTCTAAGTAAATGACAAATTGTGGATAGATTTGAGACTTAAAAATCAGATCAAGCTGATGTAATCAATAGTATGAAGTAAAAGGACAAATTGTGGATAGATTGGGACTTAAAAATCAGATCAAGCTGATGTAATCAATAGTATGAAGTAAAAGGACAAATTGTGGATAGATTGGGACTAAAAAATCAGATCAAGCTGATGTAATCAATAGTATGAAGTAAAAGGACAAATTGTGGATAGATTGGGACTTAAAAATCAGATCAAGCTGATATAATCAATAGGATAAGGTAACAAAAGATTTGCTAGGTGACTACTCGGCTCAAAAAATTTAATCTTACCTCTATAGAGATCCGTGATACAGAAGAACTAGAATGAGGCTGTCCTTTAACAGATGATGAAGAGGTCCCCTGTTCTTGTGCAACTTTTGCAGCAGCCTCAGCCTGCACATTCACAGTAGGATGGTGGAAAACTTTTAGAACGAAATATGAATTGGGAAAATTACAATAGACATTATGTTGACTTTCATTTGGAATTAACAAGTTTATCCTGATACATAATGGAAATAAATTTCAAATAAATAATACTGAGTGATTTTATATATACAAGTGAAATGCACCTGAGCTTTCTTTTCTTTTGCTTTACGTAGCTTCTTCAACTCTTTCGCTCTTGCTTTCCTCTTGGCATCTTTTTCTGCCTGGAAAACAGTAAATGAATGAAAATTAAAAGCAGTTTAAAGTCCAAATATTATGCCTAAGCAAAAAAATCGTATTAACGAAAAATTGTCAAAGAACTCATCAAATAATCTACTAAAAAAATAGAAAGATCACTTCACAACTGATGGTTGAGACATAAAGAAACAAAAAATAATTGAAACCAGGTCTTGACCCAAGAATTAGCATTCAACTTGCATATTGTGGCTGACATTCCCAAAAGTAACATGGATATAGTACCAATTAGGTGAAAAAGGAATTTATGAAAGAAATAGAATAACCGACATTACACCACCAACATGTTCTTTATTTATTTCTTCTTGTTTAATTTTTCAACACATGTTTTAGTTTTTATGTTTTCTATGCAAGGAAAAATGACTCTAGTCAAATTGCTGTGTCAAGTATTGGCACACAAGCCATATTTCGAAAAGGATGATACCCTGAGACAAACTTTAACCCGTATCATGCAAAACATTCATAAATACTTAGAGCATGTACGATATTTCTACCAACTTCTGCAAGCGAAAAGACTTAGAGATGCTGACAATTCATCTACTTAGACAAGGGTTCAAACAGCCTCCAAAAGACCAAATGACCTACAAAATCAGTCAACAAGGACACATAAAAGATACCTGCTTCACTGCTTGAGATTCCTCCATCTCTTTTGTCAATGCACTAGGTACCTTGGCAGCATTCCAATCCCATTTATCCAGGTTTAAAGCCATGAATCGTCTGAAAGTATTCCTGACCTCCTTATCACTCACCAGCATGTATGGAGTCCGACCCCTTTCATCTTTGGCACAAGGATCCAGACCCTGTTCTAAGTGTTCCAAAACCCTGTGAGCATCATTAGATATTGCTGCTTCATGCAAAGGTGTTGATGAACATATATCTTCACTTTCAGTCTCACTCGATATAGATAATTCATTTGGATTTTTACTACTTGGACAAGCTTCCGAATTGCTCCTACAATCAGAGTTTTCATCTATGACTGCTTTGTACGTTGTTAGGCTGCCATTGCTTGGGGTACCTTCACTAAATAGCAAGTCATTTTTGGAATTTGAAGGAATCTCCGTCTCATCTACTTCATGAGCCACTTGAGTCAACTGATCATATAACCTCCGAGACTCCTTGAATGTGGGTCTCCGAACAGTCAGCGGAACATTGTGGACAACACAATGCACATTACTAAAGTATGGTTTTACCCCATTAAAAAGCAGCTGGCGACTGTTCGAAGGAGCGTATATGAAAACACAGGAGGAAGAATCAAAGTAAGGCTTCCAAGCAGCAAGTAAATCTTGAATTTCCTGAATCGTTATAATATGAGAAAATCAGTCAACTTACAAGATTTAGCAGAAAAAAATAGTTTTTGATTTCCATTAAACAAGGTAATGTCAACTTTCACATAATCACAACCGTAATCATATTGACATGCTCTATTAATTAGTGTATCAAAAGGTAAACGCAAAACCAAATCTCGTTAGTGGTGTAAGAACACAATGGAATAATTCTCATGTCTGTACAAAAAATCAAAGCTTTCAATACCTTTTTCAAAGCAAGTTCATTATATCTGCGGAGCGAAGCTCCAGCAGAATGTGCAGCCTTGCCACTTGCATCTTTTGATGACTGTTTCTTTCCAGCCTTAGCCCTCACGACATATCTAAATTACAAAGAAAATCAATCAAAGATGTTCAAACCAATATGCCACATATTTGTTATAACCTTTAAATTCTTAAATATGATAAGATAAGAACTGTAGTTCCATTCATATTCCAAATAAAATTTCAATCTCACAGCTCCAGAAGTGTATTTTGACTGCCGGGAATGGTGAACCAATCAATACTTGAGTAAGCTAATGCAATTAAGTCTTGGGATGAAAAGAACATTTGCTTTGCACCACATGCATTTGCAACTATATTCTAAGGCACTACTATCCATTTTTTTGCAACAAATAAGTGTCAAAACAAAAGCACCTTCCTAACTCCACAATTTTGGAAGGAAAAGGAAAATAAACCAACCTGTGGAATGTTTTGTGAGCCACAACAGAGTTACCATCAAAAACACAACCAGCAAAATGCCCAGCACTTGCCAGCAACACAACCCTGAAACGCGTATTATCCCTCGGCTCGTTAACCAAGCTTTTCAGTCTCTCCACCACATCCTTCTCCTTCAGACATGGCTCCGTCTCACCATTACCAAAAGAACCTTCTTTATCGTTCTCAAACAAAATGTCTTCAGACTCATTCATAACCAAACACTTCCACACCGAAACTCTCTCGCCTGTTTGAAGTCGGATGAACACCTTCCGCTTAAGATTCTCAAATGCACCCTTCCGCGGGTGAATTTCCTTTTCAACCTCGTCCTCTGATCCTGATATACTGGACACTTCGTAGTCTTTGAAAGAATCAGATGTTAACTCGTCAAAATCATCTTCTTTAACGATGTTCTTTCCAGCTATACTCAACTTAACCTATAAATACGTGATTATAACCAAGAAGATATCACAATCAAAACTCGATGAAACTAACAATTCAAACATATCAAAGAGCACACTTGATTCCTATTTTGAGGATTTAAAGGGGAAAAAAATCTTAAAAGTCGGCAATTATGGTGAAAAAAAAATTCCAGAATTGTCTCCGGAGTTTTGGCAAACTGAAACTAAAGCACAAAACTAGTAATTCAAGCAAATTAAAATTCAACCGCTAAAATTGATAAATAGAAAAAAGTAAGTAAATAAATAAAGGAAATCTGAGATTACGTTGAATCGGTGAATGTCCGACTTGAAGTGCGAACGCTGATCCTGGAGAGACTCGAACTCGGCTTTGCAGGTGTTGCAGGTCCACCTCGGCGCTATGCCGGCGTTTTGGGGGCGATTCTGCTCTGCCTCAGGCTCGGGCTCGTCGACGGATTCGAGAGCCGAGTTGTGTGAGGTTTCTGTGGATAAAGGAGCTACCGAGTGTGGAGAAGGAAGGAGAACACAGGTATCGAAGAAATTGGCCGGCAATTCGAAGACCGAACGGTATCGTTTCTCGGGCGCAACGGTGATCGCCGCCGCGACGGTTGTGATGACGGCGGTGGCGGCGGCAGGGGGCTCAGGTTCCGTCGCCATGTTTTCTTGCTCTGTCGATTGGCTGATCCACGTGCTCAAACGACTTGATATTGGCATGTAGATGTATGCAGACTTCGAAACGATGTCGTTCTGCCGCTGCACGGAAAGAAAACGAATTCGCACCTCGCGATCTTTTGGGTTTACTCGGAGAATTGAGAATGGGAAAAGGAAAAAAATACTAATTAAAATTCATATACTCTGAAAAGTAAATTTTACAGTTTTTTATTGAGAAGAATTCTACGGGGTGAATTAGAGGCTGTTTGGCAGTCCTTTTTTTTAGTCAAAAATTTAGAAAAAAAAAACTCGAGTTATAATTTTATTTAAGTTTATGTTTTTTTAAATTTGAACTCGAATTTGAACTCAAGTTTGGAACTAAAACTCGAGTTTAGAAACTCAAACTCAAATTAATTAACAGTATTTTTTCTATTCTTAAAATGCTATAACTTTTTCGTTTTAATTCTGATTGAGATAATTTTTTTTCTATGCGTTGACAACGAAAAGATGAATAAAACCCCACCTATATACCCTATTAAAATTTTTTATCAACATTGAGTTTTTATTAAAATACTATCTAAATACAAATTTAAGTTTTGACTCACTCAAACACAAACTCAACAAAATTTTCAATTCAAATCATAACTCAAATGTGAACATCCAAACACAAACTCAAGTTACAAACTCAAGTTATAACTCAAACTCAACTCAAAATCATCACTCAAATCACCATAACTCAAAAATGTAAAAAAACAACCCCTATTGGAAGCACACGCCTCTACTAAAAATTTAGAAAATTATTGTATTGATACTTTCTATATTGTCTTTTAAACCCCTAATTTTTCACCCAACAAACTAATATTGTCTTTTATATAGCTTTGGGCTTGATTCAACTTATTTTTCAAATTGTCATATGGACTCTTCCTTTTTCTAAGGTCCAATACATGTTTAAATTCTTTCTATTTTCAACTATTTCTACTTTTTTTTTAATTTTATTTTGGCTTGTCCTCTCTCTCTTCTTCAACTTGTTATCTTTTCTTCTTCTTTTTTCGGTACATTAATTTGTTACCGTCTTTCTCTGTGATCTCCTTTGTTTTACAATTTTATCAACTTTTATAATATTAAAGTATGCAGAGAGATCCATTAAGTTTCATTTTTATATTCATAATAATGTTGAAACATGCGTAATATTATAATAGGTTATAAGTAGATAACTTTTTTATATTACATTATATTAGTTTATAATCAACTTCGTTTATATTTGTGCTCCCACTGAATTTAAAGTATGACTCCATCACTGGAAGGATTGCAGAATTTATCCTTAAAGTGTATGAATTTAGATTTTTATCTCTCATTATTGATTAATATTCTTTTATTAGTATAATTATTTAACTAAAAATGTTATTAATCAAGAGTAAATAGTAAAAATCATGACTCATATACTTTTAAGAAATATTTATCTCCTTTACCTATTAAACTAATTTTAGAGTTAGAGATGACTTATTATAGTGGCACCTCCTGTATGTTGCCAATATTATAGTGATACCTCTGGGTCGAAATTAATCACATCAACACTCTCTAATCTAAACACTCTTAAATTTATTTGTGAATGTCAAAACTCTCTTTTAATATTAGCCATTGATCTAGAGAAACCAAATCCCAGCCGTCCATTTAATTTCTTTCATCTAAGGGACCAAAAAACCTAGATGAGAAAAAACTAGAATGCCTTTTATTTGTTTTTGAAAACGATTTTGTAGGTCTTTCATGACACCAAATTGAAAAATGAAAACTAAACTCAATACAGTTTTTTTTAAAAATATACCCAAATAAAATTTTACTTTTTTCTTTAAGAAAAATAGCCAAACACCATTCTGAAAACAGTCCCGGCATTAATTAACCAAATGTCCATATACTAGACACGTAAGTCCTAATAATAATCAAATTTAAGCAAGTCCTAAAGAATCTTAATAGAACTCCAATAAATTAAAATAAATAAATATGAAAAAAAAATGAATAACTCTAAAAAATAACAGCAATTCTATAATCATTCCAAGTCTCAAAATTATATATTATTTCCATCATTTTCCTCCTATTGAATGATATGTCTATAACTTTTCGAAAGATTTGAATTAAATCGTTGGAACTGCTCTCCAATAAATAAAATATCATCAATAAGAAAGCAATTCTTTTAACGAATCTCTTTGGTATTCGTTAGTGGGGTAAGTTGTAAACTTATCCTTCAAATTCCAACCTTAGGAGACACCAGAAGATATGCCTGTAGAAACAAAAGAAGATAAAAATGAAGACTTGAATGTACCTCAATAAAGAAATTAATTTGCCACATTAAAAATTTGAGTAATAGACATGTTCAATGACAAATCAATTAAATATGCATTAGATTCAAGCTCACGAAGGATAGGGGCCAATAATTTAGAAATGTAATTTTTTGACAACATTTTTAGCATTATAACGTTCAAGACACGTACGAACCATAATACAATTACGTTCATTGAATTCTCTGTACTTATGGTGTGCGCCAGCAAGTTTATAAGTATCATTACTTAAAATAATTTTTTAAATCTCATCATAAATCATGATTAACAAACATGTCCAAACCTATTACATAAGTGACCTATTTGATGACCTTAATAACTAGAGATGCAAGTTCGGCCCAGCCCTGAGCCTTTAAAAGGTATTTTAAAAATTAAAAGAGAAATGAGACAAATATCTTTTAAAGTGCATGAGTTCGGATTGTTCCTCATTACTTTTTATTAATATATTTTTTAACTAAATAACTATATTAATCAAGATTAATGAGTAGAAACTCATATCATACACTTTAATAATAAATTCAGCAATTTTTTCAAATCCATCTGGCCAAAAAGTCTTGGCAAAAACTAAAAACAAAAAACAAAAACAAAAGACCTCAAAAAAAAAAAAAAAACAAACAAAAAAACCTCTCAAAAAAAAAAAAAAAGAAGAAGCACAAACAACTTCGTAGAACTTTGTTTTGTTGTTTTTAACAAATGATTGTAAGAACTCAAGCAGATAACAAACTAGCGTAGGGACTACTACCTCAATTGGTGGCTTTTATTGCATATTCGGTGGCTTCAAAGTTCAAACTAAAATAAGACGGAAATGTGATTGAGCAAAAACATGTCATATGGTAAGAATGATAGCGATTCAGGCTGCAAAATGTTATAAGCATTTTTGTTAGTCTGGCTGCAAGGTGCACTAGCTTTTTGCCGCCTCTAATGTCCTACATTAATGTAATTTAACAAAAATATTTCCTTAGGGAATGTTTGAGTAAAAAAATAATAATCAAACGACGAACAATATTAATATTTCGTTTAATTGGACTTAAAAATTGAAAGAAAACATCAAAAAACAATTCACATTAAATTAAATCTCAAGTTGTCTCGGGTGGCGAAAGATAATTACTAGTATTCTGATCTCTTTGTCCCGTATTATTCACCTTTTGCTTTGTTCGCTCTCTCGCCTATTAAAATAATGTCATTTCATTTTTTTTTTTGGGATATTTATATTTTTATATGATGTGTTTTAAGTTTATTCAAAATTTATACCTTTGACTTTTGATATCTTTAAATGTATACTTTTAAATTAGATTAATTAATTTTGATATTTAAATTGACTAAGCTATCCTTAAGAAAAAGGAAAAAAAAAAAAACATTACAACTTTCTAATATTATCATGATTAAAAATTAATAACACAAAACAAACCCATTTGAATAGTATTTTACATTTTTTAGAGGTCAAAATTGTGAGTTTAAAATTTTTTGTTAGGTTGTTTCCTTCTTCTATGTTTTTATTTAAGGGTATTTTAAATATTATTAAGGTTAAAATCAAGATTTACTATAGAACGGTATAAATTTTGATATTATCTAATTTAAATGTATATATTTAATGAGATAAAAAATTAAATATATAATTTTTAAATAAACCTAAAACACAAGATATAAGAAGATAAATATCTTTTGTTTTTCCTTTTCATTGTTCTACCATCATTGACATGTTCTTTTGACATCGTGGTATTTCAGGATCCATGTTTTCATTGAAATGTCATTGTAGGCCCCGTTCATTTTACAAATTCAAATTTAGTATATGAGTTTTGCTACAATAAACAACTCTAAAAAACAGTCATATCTAACTTTTTTGTTACAATAAAAAACTCACTTAAAGTCATATTTCAACTCGAATCAACGAACTAAACAGACCCGTAGTAAGTCGATATCGAAAAGTCATTCCCACAATGAACAGAAATGCGGGCCTGTTTAGTTCGTTGATTCGAGTTTTTAATTCGAGTTCAGATGTGACTTTATGTGAGAGCTTTTTACTGTAATAAAAAAATTAGATGTGACTGTTTCTAAGAACTTTTTACTATAATAAAACTCGAATCGGCGAAATGAATGGAGCCAAATTACTCTTCGGCATTATATTCAGGCTTTTCTAGCTTCTGTGTGAAAATTTCTCCATAGTCACGAGTCATGTTAGCTCCTCTCGGCGTAAAATTAGCTCAAAATCATAGGGCCTGTTTGTTTTTGTTTCCATTTTTATTTTTCACGTTTTTCGAAGCAAAAATTTGAAAACGGGTGTTAAAAACGCGTTTGGTGCAAGTTTTTTTAAAAAACAAAAACAAAATCGTTTTTGTCGTTTTGTGGAAATCAGAAAACGAAAAAAAGCTATTTTCATTTTCTCCATTTTCGTTTTCATTTTCCTTTTCTCTCTCGTTTTCTCTTCAGACTCCCCGACTGCCCCCCCTCGTCATCCGGTACCGAAACTTGAAGATCTGCAATGGAAGGATCACTCCGGGAAAGAGGACGAGAGGGAGGGGAAAAAGCGGGAGCTCAACGACGTCGTCTGACTTCGGCGAGCCAGCGTAGTGCCGCTCGGAGAACGACGACACCGAGCACCGGAGAGCATTGGGCTTGCGGCGGCAGCGCCCCCCCACTCTTCTCCGACTGCACCGCCGACACCCCCACTCTTGTCCGACTGC